GTCTGTTTTTAATTTTCTTTAAGGTTGCAATGTATTAAAAACAATCGAGTCAACAAAGCAATCTGATGATCATCAATTTGTCTTTTACTCTAACTAATAATCGAAATCCCAAAATAGCAATGACTTCGCAAACTGCCCTAGTTTTATTTACTTTATCATAAACAAATGTTTGGGGCTTTTCAGTTTATGATCATTGATCATTCAATCATTGGACAGTTATACTACACATTGTTTAAGATTTAACATTATTTACATAAGAAGCTGTTTACTATAGCCTGTGATTTTAAGTCTTTTCTAATCCATAGAGCTTTTTTATTTTGACAATTTGACTGGAATGGTATTAAACCTGAGTATTTCACATACAGGAAATGTTGTCCCATGTCCCATATTGTCCCCTTTTCTAACTGAACGCCTCGTGTAGAGATGTCAAGGTGTGTTGATCTACGGCTCATATCAGATTGTTTGCCATAAATTGCAAATGGCTATTGATGTATGAAAAGCATTTTCTATAAAGTAAAAATGTCTTCCTATGTATGCAGATAAACCTTGAAATTTGGCATAACAGCAAAGTATTTTTCATGATCACTAAGTAATTTTTCTGATGATCATTATAATTTCTAGACTAAATTATTTCAGATTTACATTTAAACGAGCTTTGATCATATGAAAAGATATTTATCATAACCAGTTAGCATGACACATGAACCAATTTTAACATTCATGTAATTATATGATTAAAGGCATGTTGGTTACATTCTGTTTGTATTTGCAAATACAATGCTACTAGTGATTGCTATATAGCACACCTTGCATATACTTACAGAAGATAATAGTGAAATGCCTAATACACATTAATGGTATTAAGCTGTCCCTAATTGCAAATTTTCACTCTGGTAATTTTTGTTTAATCTTTGGCAGAAAAAAATTTTGAGTTTTTTCCCAAAAGGTGAATTTGCTGGCACTGTATGTGGAGATGGGTAAAGGGTTACCATAAACTTGCATGGTTTGAAGTCTGAGCTTTTCTATATGTATGAACTGTCCCTTGTAGTACCAAATTTCCAATTTAACTCATTACATAGAGGTTTGAATGGGGGTCTTAGGGGGGTCTATGCCTTACAACTTGGTAGAAATTTTTAAAGACAATGTCTTTTTTGGAATAGCATTATTGTAAAATAAATTTTACGTTTCTAGACATGATAATGGGCCATATATTTGGCATGATAATGAGCCTAATATTCGGCAAAACATTCTAGTATTGTTTACTTCATTTTCTTTTGAAAAAAACGTAAACAAAATGTGTCGTTTTTACGCAAAAACGATGCCCCAAAAGTACATTTTGTATTGCGCTAAAACGCTGAAAAATGCATTTTCAAGGCTCTGAAATTCAAAATTTCCCAGGGGAGAATGCCTCTGACCCCCCCAATTGCGGAGCGCCTTCGACGTTTTATGACTGAAATTTGAAAAATCCTAGATCCGCCTTTACTGTAGTATACTGTAATGATGATAGGTTTTGTAGTTTTATTTATTTATGACATTACACTCTGTAACATCCTGCACGATATATATGTCCTATCCTGACTTTTATTCCTATTCGGATAAATTTAGGCTGTTTTTTATTGAAAGATTGAATATCAATCTACAGTTTAAGCAGTCGCAATTTCTGCTTGGTTAACAATTTTACTTCAATATGAATGTTTACTAACTTCATTTTTATCATTCAAGCACATATTAAGTGCATTGTTATTTGTATGAAAAAAAGTCAAGGGAAATGTAGTCTTCAACTTTCTAAACCAATTATAACTGGGACTCATTGTAAACTATTATTTTTACATTCCACTTGTGTAAGCCTTATTCATTCAGGTTCTTTAATTGTAACCAGGGATAAAGACTTTATTTTGACACCAAGATTTTTATCCTTTCTGTCATCAAAAAGCCATGACATTTATAAATGTCATTTATTATGCTCTAGCAGCGTCCCTCAGGTAACTATTTCCATGTATGACCATGAATTTTAAGTTGCTTTTAGATAAAGCATTTGCTGTTACTTTTTAAAAGTATAAATTCTGAATTTGAGAAACTCATTACTCTTTTTGGTATCTAACATGAAAAATTCCCAATGTGGGAATTTTCTTAAGGTGGACAGTTTCATCATAACTGGTCCATGAATGTACCTGTGAGCATTATTCAATTCATTTTTATAATATACATTGTTTTTCGCGTAGTGCTTAATTAAGGTCTGTTCATCACATTCTACTTTTGCCATAGAAGTATTACAAATTTTTACTCTTTCAAGGTATGACGAGTGTCTTCAGTGATAATTATGATGTTCACAATTTATTATATAGGCCAATCATAAAGATATTTTAAAGGCTGGGTATGCAAAGATACTTTGGTGAATAAAAAGTTCATTTGTAAAATCAATCTTAGGCATGCTGATAAGCTATGATGATGGCCGTAGTTACAATGTTAATTGGGGGTGGGGGGTAGGGGGGTGTATATTCAATTCGGCGCAACTTAGTACTTTTGAAAGTGATTTTGCTTTCTCAAGAAATCAGTCAGGCACAGCTAAATATATGAAAATCACACCCCCCACAATTAACATTTTAGCTGCGGCCAAAGCTATAAAACTAAGCAAAACGTCTAAAATTTGATGGCCTCATGTTATTTCCCTTTAACCATATCTTCAAAGTAATAATAAATCTAGTGTGGATCCAACGTGACTTTAAAAGATGTGACCTTTATCGAGATATGATCACAACAAAAAATAGGTTGAAGATAAGTCCAAAAATGCAGGAGATTACAATTCTTACCATATGTATCTCAAAATGTTCTGGGGTGTTATGCCGCTGTACCCCCTAGATAGCGAACGCCTCCGGCGTTCCGGCATTTTGACTAACAAGAAAAAATGTGTAGTTTTAATCAAGTGCACTTATAAGGCTCATAAGACCAATGAAGGTCTAATCTTAGCTTATGCTATTTATCTGGATTTAACCCAGGTTAGTTTATTAACACAGTTTTTTGGATGTAAACACTACTAATCCAAGTTTAACCTAGGTTAAACTCAGCGTATGTCTTGAGAAGTCAACTTTGCTGAGGTCATCTATCAACTTATCTGGTTCATAGTTTTTATAGTTGGGATGGGAAATGGATTTTAATTCCAATTTTGTTATTGCATTTACGAACACTTCCGATCATATCATGATCTCCTATTTACATAGGAATACCCTTAGTTATTCTTTGCTATGAAGACAATGAGAGTGTCTGCTAACTGGGTAATTCTTGCTGGTCTTTTTGTTAATTGCTTAAGTCAAACAAACTTAGAACCAATTTTATTTGCCTATTTTCTGCTGGTAAAGCATAATTCATGTTCACACACTCCCCCCCCTGTAATAGTCAGTCCGGCGCTTTCCTACTAACTTTTCCGATACATGCGCTTCAATACCACCCCCTTTACCTTTTACTCTATGCTGACTAACAAATGTGATATGGATTGAAAAAACACAGCGTTCCATAATCATATAAAATGATAACCAAAACTGACGTAAGCATTCGTATTTGAATCGTTTTGCGGAAATAAAATTGTATTAATTTTACGCCAGTTCGCACCGTGACATAAGCTCAAGAATTAGCACAAAAAGAGTAGCACAATTAAAGTATTTTTACTCAAAAAGAATGATAGCATAATGCTCTATCCAACAACTACAAACAATAACGACCTTATCTAATAACATTTGAGAAACTAACCTTCCACTCCTCTTCCTTGTAAACGAGACAAGTCTTCTGGAAAGCAGAGAGCCTTATACACTACAAGCCCGGGCTTGTGACTAGTATAGCAGAGTTAAAAGGTGAAAGGTCTATCATAGATTAATCAACTGAATATTCCTGCTCATTTTTGTTTGGAAGCATGTTGAACAGTTCATATGGACAAAGCTTGAACTCCATATTAAATGTCAGTAACATTATCCTGTGTTATTGTTAGACAATACATCACTGCCCCTCGGTGAAAGTATCCTGCTTACAGCGTATAAGGCTCTCTGTTTTTGAGGAGACTTGTCTCGTTTACAAGAAAGAGGAGTGGAATGTTAGTTTCTCAAATGTCGTTATATAAGGTCGTTATTGTTTGTAGTTGTTGGATAGAGCATTATGCTATCATTTTTTTAGTTGGAATGTTTAATAACATTCCAACTATTTAACCTTATAAAGTATTTTTCTTGTGTTCATTCTAGTACTTGTTTCTCATTGCTTAAGTCGAGCGTTTACGTTTGTGTTTGTGCTTACATGCTTATTTGGCTCGTGTGTTCTAGGTTTAAAACTTTTTCTGATAATTGTATTAGACAATTTATGGTTAATCGTGGCTTAGTTAATCTTAGATTTTGTTAGAACAAGTAAGTTGTAACTCTATCTAAATATTTCATTCATTATATTGCACTGAAGATGGCATAAATTTGCGGAAACATGCATGCATTAAAAATTAAAAAAAAATTGTCGTTTACGTTAAATGCCTTATTTCAATCGTGGTGCTACGAAATTTTGGTAATTTGTTTGTTATGAAAATTTGTCATTTATTCGATTTTACGCAAATATTTTTAATTTTCATGCAAGTGTAACAAATATATTTGATTAACGAAATAATTTAAAAACAAATATAAGCGATATAAATTTTATTTTGCGACGTCAAACATCAAGACACAAAATAGAATTCGCTAAAATTAGTCTTAGAAGCAAGTATGTTGATTAGGAAACGACTGCATATCATAACGTCTTTAATTTACATTTTGCGAATATTTTGATAGATCTAGAAGTATGTATAAAAAACGTTTATGTCGATTACAGTTTTAGAAAATATATTTTTTAAGCAAAAATAATTTCATGCCATTTGCACATAGCGTGCTATGATAAAAAAACCATATCAAAAAAACATCACATTTTTTGATAAATAATTTATTTTACATTTCTTAGTGTTTTCCATTTTACACGTGGTTTGTGTTTTCACATTTCAGGATCGTTTTAATGGAGGATGCAATGGATTGTTTAATGTCTTTCTCTGATTTTTTCGCTGCGTTTCAAATTCAATTATATTACGAAGGTATAACAATTTTAATTGTCATTTAATATTTGTTTTTTTTTGTCATACACCGAACATCACATATCCAAATAACATGAAATAATGTTAAATAGACGAATGTTTCTCCTTTGCTCTTTTTTACCTTACATCTGTTTTGTCAATATAAATTTAAGGATTCTTCTGAACAATGACCGTTAGCTTCTTTACTTGGTCGAATTATATCGTCCTTTTCAACAGCATAAACTAATGCCCGTATTGTAAAAGCTCACTCGCACTTACGTGCACTTACTGAGTGCGACACAGTGACAAATTCAGTCATTTTTCCATCGCTGGCATTATTTTCATTAATATATTTCTAATCAATTAATCAGGGGGAAGGAAAATACCCAGGGATTTCGTAAAGCCTATTTCGACGAGTGTGAGTAAATTGATAGGAAAGGGCGTAAAAGTAGAGATTTTGTGGGCTAGTTATGTCACCTACAGAATTTTATGCAAATTGTATGCTAGCTGTACTAGATTTGATCAATAAATCACGACTATCAGTGCGTTGTATGGAAACATCAATAAGAACGGATTTTTAAAAGTTTCATCCAATGATATGTACAATGACTGGATTGTGTAACAACCAATAAACTTTGGCGTATCCAGCCAGACTTTTTGTTCCCACTGAGCAAAAAGAAATGGATAACTGTGGTGTTTAAAATTTATTTAATGCTCCTCAATCTATTGGCATATTAATGCATACAAATACCGTACAATAATTGTAGCTTATGGCTGCTTTGGGCATCGTGGGCTTCAAGTTACTACATAACTTAACTTTTGCGTTGTAATGTCCTTTACATAACTTGAACTTAGACTAGCACCTTAATTGAAAATTAAATCTATGCTTTGCAATGCCCAGAGCTCCAGTAGCAATTAAAATTGGAAAAAAAATTGAAAAGATGTGGTGGTTACGGCAGTTTGAAGTATGCACGATTGCACGATGCATCATCGATTTCGAGGTATTAAAAAAAATCGAAGGAAGTGGCGTGGCCGTAATTCTTCGAAATAATATATTGTATAATGAAGAGATGATTAACCGATGTAGGATAGTGGTGGTTATGTGTTAGTTCGCCAAGATCTCCTGTTTTTTGATTGGGAATATCGACCACAAAATTCTTCATTTTTAATAACATTGACTTTGTATTTAAAATTAACATTTTTTTTCTACAAATTACTATACCAAATTCTCCACATTAAAAATATTGTATTGTTACATGTTTGTGGATGTAGGTTGTCCAGGTTAGTAGAGTCCTGAACAGGAATTTTGTTGCTGATGTTGACTGACAATTCGATAACCTTAGCGGTAGTCATCTTCAGAGTCAAATGAGAAGTAAACGTCAGGTTAGCCGTATTTGATATCTGGTTCTTACGTCATTGGATTGTGTATGCAGGAAATGTGTTGGTGTCAATTGTGTATTATCATCGTACATTAGTGTAAAGTGTACTGTGCTTAGGGGCTGATTACATGAGCCCGGGTAGCCGGGATTTAACCAAGCGTTTAATGTTTTTGGCGAATGGAAACGATTCAATACTTATCAGATAAATCTTCTTGAGCAATATGACAATATTCTGATTTAAAAACTACGCACAACATTCCAAATTAAAACAAACAATTTGGCCTAATTTTAGAATTACAAAAGGAATGAATTGTGGCATTTAACAAACAGTTCTAATTTTGATCTTGAAGTTTTGCCTCCTATCAATCTCTCGAAATTATTTCACGCCTCACTTAATCCAGTTAACCGGGATCATGTAAACAGCCCCTTAGTTGCTCGTTTCTTTGTAATATTAATAAGTCGTTTCTAAGGTGCCGGTAAGTGCTGTGATCAGTTCAGAGGGTTTTGTTCCAAGTTGGTATACCAACTTTCTGACGTAAGTCGTTGTCTATTGTCAGTGCTGTAAGTAATACGTTTTGCCGAGTCGCAGTCAATGTTGTGTTATGTCAGTCGGTGATGTTCGGCAATATGATTGGTTTTGACTTGTTTCTTTGTAGCTCATTTGCGTTCAGTAAGTCTTATTTTTAAGTTCCTGCCAGTTTCCCTGATATAGGAGGCGTGGAAGTTGGAGGAGTTTATTTTGTAAACTGCATTTTGTCGTTCGTTTTGTTGTTCTTTGTCCTTTATTTTCGTAAGTACTTGTCATAACGTGTGATTGGTATATTTGTGACACGTATGTTGTATGGTCGTAAGATACGCGAAATAGTCTCAGACGTACCTTTGATGTAAGGTATCGTTGCTGTTGTTGTTGAGATGTTCGTTTCGTTGGGTATTGTTTTTAAGTGTTGCGTTTGATGAAGTCAGAGCTATGGCTGTTTTTGTTAAAAACACCTTTGAGATAGTTGTTTTCATTGCGTAGAGCGTCCGGTGAATCACATATGATTTGTGCACATCTTGTTAATGTTCTTATTATGGTGGCTTTGTGATGTAGGGTTGTACGATGAGTGGTGTAGTAGTTTGTCAGTGTGTGTTGTTTTGCGATAAACTGTGGTTCGTAGTTTTTGACTGTCATGTTTTACTAAACAGTCGAGAAAAGGAAGTTTGAGTGTTCAGTTTTCTTCGACGTCTTTGGTTTATTGTATGTTGCTGTTCTGTTTGTTGATATGAGTGTGAAAGTCATCAATCTCGTCTGCATGTAGTGCTGTGGTTGTGTCATCTACGTAGCAGAACAAAAAAGGTAGTACATGTTTGTAAGTCGCGAGCGCCCGTTCCTTTATAGATTGAAAATATCAGTATCTACAGCAGAGGCGGGTGAGCCCATCGCTGTTCCGTGTAATTGTTTGTAGTGTGTACAGTTGCACTGGAAGTAAGTCGAGGTTAGGCAGAGCTCCAGTAGCTCCATAGGGTCTTCTGTCAGGATTGGAAATACGTCCGTTGTGTTTTTAATGAGGGTTTTTGTACCAGTAAGTGCCAGATCAAGTGGAATACTTGTGAACAGTGATTTCACGTCAAAAGACGCCATTGTACATAGTTTTCTGGTATTTGTATAGTGTTCAGTTTTTAATGAAGGTTTCATGGGATTGTCGCTTTTGTTTTGATTTGCTTGTAAGTGGTTGGTATGGTATGTCGGTCAAGTAGTTTGAAAGTTCGTGAGTAGGTGAACCACAGAATGATACAATTGGTTGCATGGGTATTTGTGGTTTGTGAAGTTTTTGGTAGTTGTTTAGAAGCTGTTGTAATTTCTGAAATTGTCGTGCAATCTATAAAGCAACAGGCGCTCGCGACTTACAAACATGTACAACCTTTTTGGTTCTGCTACGCAGATGACACAATCACAGCACTTCATGCAGACGAGATTGATGACATTCACACTCAAATCAACAAACAGAACAGTTACATACAATTTACCAAAGATGTCGAAGAAAACTGAACTCTTCCTTTTCTCTATTGTTTGGTGAAACATTACAATCAAAAACTACGAACCACCTATTATTGCAAAACAACACATACACTGACCAATAACTAGACCAATCATTGTACAACCCTGCATCACACAAAGCCACCACAATCAGAACATTAACAAGACGTGCGTGCACAAATCATTTGTGATTCACCGGACGCTCTACGCAATGAAAACAACATCTCAAACGTGTTTTTAACAAAAACAACTATAACTCTGACTTCATCAAAGGCAATATTTACAAACACAATGAACCCAACGAAATGAACAACTCAACGACAACAGCAAGGATACCTTATAATAAAGGTACGTCTGAGACTATCTCGCGTATTTTATGAGCGTACAACATACGTGTCGCACATAAACCAATTACAACGTTACGAAAAGTACTAACGAACATAAAGGACAAAAAACAACCCAACGAACGACAAGGTGCAGTTTACAAAATAAACTGCTCCGACTGCCACGTTTCGTATATCGGGGAAACTGGCAGGAACTTAAAAATAAGACTTACTGAATTAAAATGAGTTACAAAGAAACAAGACAAAACTAATCACATTGCCGAACATCACCGACTGACAAAACACAACAATGACTGCGACTCGGCAAAATGCATTACTTACAGCACTGATTATAGACAACGACCTACGTTAGAAAGTTGGTATGCCAACTTGGAACATAACCCCATGAACTGATCACAGCAATTACCGGCACCTTACAAACGACTTTTCGTAATACAAACAAACGACCAACTACACACAGTACACTTTACACTAATCTACATTAAACAAGTGACACCCACACATTTTCTGGGCATACAATCCAATGACGTAAGAACCAGATAACAAATAAGGCTAACCTGACGTTTACTCCTCATTTGACTATGAAGATGACTATCGCTAAGGTTATCGCAGCATCAGTCAACATCAACAACAACAGTCAATGGACGACTAACATGAACGATCTACGTCCAAAATAGGTGGGTCACGATACTCCCAGCTTGAAACCAATTACTTTTATATTGTATTGGTTAGTAATTTATGAATTACATGAAGGAAGAGTGAATGAAAAATAAAAAGAAGTTGATTCTGGGAGCATTTTTTCCTGCCATAAAATTATGTCCTTGTTCTACGTGCAATAGTAAAACATGCAACAAAGTCAATCCACCTTAGGTTTAGAATATTCACCTTGGCGCTGGAAATAGTATGGATGGGTTTCTTTATATTTAAGGCCTTGTTTACACGTGTCCGGAAACTTAAAACTACGGATATTTTTTCCCCGTATTTGAAAAAAATTGCGTCCACTCGTATCGTTTTCAAATCGTACTTCACACGAATACGCTAAATCGCCAAAATATACAAGAGTAAGTACAAATCATTAGAGTTTGTTGTCGGAATACTAGTTTTGATGCCATCGTATTTGAAAATCTCCGTTTTAGCTGTCCACACGTATTCAAATAGCCGGCGTTTTCAAAAAGATGCATTTTGAAGAGCGGTTTCAAAAATCTCCTTATTTGTCAATGAAAACGCCGGTTACGTGTGGACGGAAGGCCAAAACAGAGAAAAAAAACTTTCGTTTTTGAAAATACCCGGCTACGTGTGGATTTGTTTAAGAAAAATTTTTTTCCCTGTTAACAGCATTAGCTGTACATAAATCTTTATATGAATGAGGACATTTAATTTCTACACAACCTACTGGAACACCATTTTCTATTATAATAACATCTGGACTACATTCCAGCCATGGCTATTTCAGACTGACAACAAAGCTATAAGATCTAATATGTTTTTGTTCTTTCAGCATGTCTTCATACTTCTCGATAGCTTTTTTTTCGTATCAAGACCTCATCACATTGGTGCTTGTGCTTTTCAACTGTTTCATTTATTAGTGTTGTAGGATGAAGTGATTTCCGTCTATTCATTATTTTTCCAAGTAAGGATGTATTAACTCTTTTTCATCTTTCCTCGTACCAGCAAAGATCTTTGCTTTGTGGTTTGGTGCTAAGACAGGTTTCTTTAGTTTCATATGTTGTTAAGCCAACCAATATCATAACATGTTAACTTAGTCCTTATTATAATATGTAGGACGGTACTAACTGCTAGGAACATTTTTAAATATTTTTTTATCAACCGTTAAGAAATCTTATTTTTCTTCCAAACAGGCTGATTAATCATCTTGTAGTTCTTGCTGTTTTTTCCTACTGTAAGAAGTGTCAAATAGCTAACAATGTTTGCATTTGTTTGATTCCAGAGCTTTTCAGAATAGTGAGGCATGTTGGCTTCCCTCAATGCATTGATCGTGTTTTTAATATCTTCCTTTGTAAATGTTTGAGCAAGTGGGGGAGTTGTACAATAGCATTTCCTTGTTCGTTGAAATAAACTCCTTTTCCTAGTCTTATTACAATCAAATCCTCGAAATTTACCACCTTAGCCAAAGTTTTTGAACTTCCTCAAGGAGCATTGCATTTTTAAGGAAGCTGTGCGCACGTAAACTCAGCAGGAATATGTTTATGTTTAAATTAACAAAGTCCAAAATCGTATAAAGTGGAGTAGCCTAATGTTTACAACAGCCCGATTGTCCTGCCTTGCCTCGACCCTTGGCTTATTCTACTTCACCACTAGGTTTATCAATATGCACCTGAACCAGATAGCTGGCATTCTTTATTGAAGCGCTGACGCGATTTTCGACAAAAATGTAGCTTTGAAGCCCTAACATTAGCTTTTACCAGAGAACTCTTGACATAACACAGTCCTTTTTCCACAGTCCTTTACCCTTTCTTCATGTTACGAAACGCTTTTGGAGCCATATTTTCTACCATAGTCCGGCTATTATTCAGCCTTTGGTTGTCCAACTTCTTATGCGTAAAATTGGCAGCTTTTCCAACGAATCTGTCCAACCGCTTGTATTGGAGCTCACAATATCTTCTTTAGTGCTCGGGTCCACTTGCTCTTCACTTGCCTGACCATATGAAGTGCCCTTATTTCACCTGGCAAAATGCACACAAACCGAACTTTTTTCGTTATCTTCGCTATTATAAAACTAGGTTCTTCGGTTGAATTAACAACTCCAGAAAAACAATGTGAAGCAGCAGAAGACTCACTGTCATCACCAGCCGTATTGTTTAAATTGTTTACACTTGCGTGTGCACGTAGACCACAATGCAATGCGCACTTAATTAATATCATTGAACTAAATATAACTGGTAGGCTACCTTCACCCGGAAATTTCAAGCCGAAGTGGCAGTATTTTTTTCAGTTTTTCCACGCTTGTGTTAAGCATGTTCAAAATATAATATTTCAGTGTTCTTGAAGATACTGGAAAAAATTGAAATAATGGCAATAAATAGTTTCAAAAAGATATAAATTTGACCAAATTATTTGTAGCAATATTTTTGGTTAATATACAGTATTATAACCACCGTTTTTGTCAAAGAAACGAACATAACGAACTTTAAGAAATACGAACATTTTCGGCACTTTGTAAAGCTGCATTATGTAGACATTTCTTAAAAAAATATTTAACCACTATCGAGACTGACATAAAAACACAATTGAAGAGCAACTGAACGTAAACAAATCTATGCTTTAAAGTGCTATATTTACGGAAAACATTGTACTTTTTTCTCTCTCTGACCAGAACGAATCCAAGCACAAACCTTTCCCATTTGTGAGTTTCCTGTGTAAAAAAACATTTTTAGTTGAATGGTAATTATTGCATAAGCTCTATTCAGCTAACATGATGAATAAACATTTTGTTGTGATAGTTATAATGGTGAAAAACTTGAACGATTACAAAGCCGCATCAAGGTTGATAATTGCTCAGTGCAATTTTTAAGGTACCATCTTTACAAAGCGAAAAAAACCCACCTGAGCCGCACAGGAAAGCCAATTGTTTTGGCGAGAAGGGCCGGTGAGCCCTCTACTATTTAGAAAATTGTTACAGTTAGCTTTGTGCTAATAAAAGCTTGCTATTCAATTGCACATAAATTCATTGCCAGCTGATAGTTTTGTAAAACATAAAACGAAACAAGTTCCAAAGATAAATTCCACGTTTAGCTCAATATTTGAGATAAAGGAAAAGACAAAATAAGATAAAGTGAAATTTCGAATTTATTACAAATTTATCATCAGACTAAGTGCATGACATGCTAATAGTTTCTCAAATTTACAATTGTACATGTGCGAAATATCACTTCATCTTATTTTGTCCTTTCTTTTGTCTGAAACAATGAGCTAAAGATGGAATTTATCTTTGGAGTTTGTTTTGTTGTATATTTTATTCAATTGTACGACATTCCTGAATTATCTTTTTAAGGCTTTGCATACACACACTTTATGATATTTACTTACGATATGTAACATTTAGTTTTGCGTTTATTGCATTTTCCACTATTTTGTATGACAATTTTTCTGTCTTAGAAACCAATGTGTAGACAAACACCCATGCAAATCAAGGATCAAACAAAGACATTAAGTTTGCAAAGTCGCTCCTAAAGCGCTTGTACGCAGTGTTTTTCTCAATAAATTAAAAGAAGTATTGCTGGTTTTGGTATATAGATGGCATTTAGCTTTATTTAAACTGATCAAGCAAACCTTATTTTTATTTTAGAATTTTTGGACAAATGCAGTGTTATTTACGATGAAATAGCTAGTGGTTCACGTAGATGTAGCCAAGTCGTAGTCGTTCCTACGTCTGATTTAAAATCTGAGTCACCTAAAAATATGGAAAACTTTTATAAGGAAGATAGAAATAACGTAAATGGTATTGATTGCACTTGTTTCTACAATGCAATTTTACACAGGATAGTTTATCACAGCTCTGTTGCAAATGCGATAAGGTGAGTAACTATTATCTCATAAACCTTACTAAGAATGAGCTCTACTGTCCCGTTTTTTACACGTGCGTATGCTGCACGCAAAAATACTTGCGTAATTAATGAATTAATGTTATTGCCAGCAAAGAATTCATAAACCATTAAATTATGACATTCAAAGTAAAATCTACGAAAGTGCTAACGCTTTGTCTTTTAATTACATCATTTGCTCATCATTACGGCACATTTGACATTCAATTACGCACCTTGACTTTCAAAGATCGCTGTGGCACATTTATTAATACGAAAGAACAATCAACAAAAAAGTTGACTATCAATACGGCATTTATTTATGCTGCATAAAATATCGAGAATATTAAAATAGCATAAATATGCATGTATGAAATCAAAAAAATACATAAAACTAGAATTTCATCCTGACAAGCCTGTTTCGTGATTTCTTACTTTCGACTAGGTGCTTCGAGCCTTCTTCAGAATAATGAAGTTATCTATTTACAGTTGCTTTTAGCTTGTAGATAATTAGAGCGTCTAATTGGATTAGCGTGTGGATTGATGTGATTGAATGGTGTGAAATGCGTTGCCATGGGTTTTAGTGTATTGTGGATGTGATTGGTGTTGACATTATTAGAGTGTGTTGTTGTAGTCTTGGTGTTGTTTGTTGTACTTTTGTCTTTTTTCTCTAGTTGTGAATATATGATAGGTATGTCGATATGTCTGTTTATTGTGTCGTTGTCTTTACTGTACAAAGCTTCTTGGAATAGCGTAAGTGTTTTGTTTGTGCGCGTACGAGTACTTTAGTTTCTGTCCAGTCAAATGTGTGATTATTTGCGTTGGTATGTTCTTTTCCAAACTCTAATGTTTGTGTTGTTTTTGACTGATTGTGTTTCGAGGTGTTGCATGACGGCTTCAGCGAGAAAGGTGGATGGTTGTGACCCCATTAGTTTGCCCGAAATTTGTCTATAGTATGAGTTTTGGAAGGAGAATTCAGTAGAGAGGCAAAGGTTGAGTAAGTCTAGGATGTCATTTTTGTCTAGTTGTGCTGTAGCTTTGCCAAGTTTTCTCGTTTGTTAGTTGTTCGTTTGTATATTTGTTCGGTTATGTCTAGTGGTATGGATTTGAAGAGTGATATTTCGTTGCATAAACAACACAAACATCAGACTATGTAAAAGATATGTCGACGACATTTTTGCCATAGTCAAGAAAGACAAAACTGAACAAATCCTATACACCATAAACAATATCATAAAGAACATAACCTTCACTAAAGACGAAGAAACAGATGACGGTACACTAAACACACAAGTATACCGAAAAACCACCCACACAGACCGAATACTCGATTTCAACAGTAATCACCCACCACAACACAAAATAAGCTGCATTCGAACACTTTTTAGCAGGATAAACATTCATTTTAAGCCTAGGCCACACTATCGTCCATATCGACGAAAATTAGAACGAAAACTTCCGCAACGAAAATTTTGAACGAAAACTCGACGAAAATTTCGTTTTCGTTCATATTAGAAGGGTTGAACTTTTGACCTTTTTCGTCAACGAAAACGCATACTATTGGCTAAAAATATCTTGATAATATCAGACTTTGTTCTCAAACATGGCCGAGTGGCAAGAGGTTTTGATAAATCTGATGCAAGAAAAACCAATTTTGTATGATAAAAGTCACCCGGATAATAAGGACTCGAGGAACAAGAAAAGAAATCACTGGCAAGATGTTTTGGATGAATTTAATAAAATTACGGACTTGGCGTGGGATAGTGAGTATTATTGATAGTCCGACGACAAACTTTTTATATCAAATCATTCATTTCCATTACTTTTTAAACATTTTAGCAGTAACTTTTTCTTAAGAAGAAGTAATCTTTTTCTTTTAGAGATCGCCATTGTTTCTAATCCGTCAAAAATGCCGCTTGCTTATTGGCCAATAATGTTTTGGCTTTGCAAACATGCTTGAAATTTTTCGTCGTGTCTGGCATGCATTTCGTGCACGAATTTTCGTTTCGTTTTCGTTTTCGTCAATATAGACGATAGCGTGGCCCAGGCTTTAGTGTCCATATGTGTTACTGAGTTCGGTAGAGTTTCTTAGTTTTTTGTGGCGGAAAGAGGCAGTGTGGTTCCTTTGTCGAGTCTTAAATTCGTTTTCTGTAAGTCCGATGTAGGTCTCAGTTGTGTTAGTGTCTAAACGTTTAACAGTTGCTTGGTAGATGACAGATTGTAGGCAGTTTCCGTTAAGTGGGCAGTTTTGTTTCTGTCGGCAGTTGCATGTTTTAGGCCCTGTTCACACGATACCGGATTGGTTAGAAACCGGGTTACTTTTCGTACCGGATAGGCCTTGCGTTCATACGGCTCCGCTGAAATCCGATACGCTTTATATCGTTTTTCCGGAGCGATTTGACTCCGCTGTGGAAGTGGTATAAAAACCAATCCGATACGTTCCGTTGTCGTGTGAACTAATCCGATACGTTCCACCAACGCAACATGGCATGTTTAAGCTTTTAACAATGTATTATCGCAATGTGAAAAGCTTCTTTCTAGTATTATTGTAATGGCAACATATATTCGGTCGTATATGGACTTTACACTCTTCCAGTCCTTGCGCCCATTCGTAAACAACCTTAATACGCACAAGAAAACACTCTACTTAGTTATTTGTCAAAAAAATTTCTCATTTCTCACGAAATATTTGAATTAGCAATCATCGTCGTTATCGCTTGCACGTACAAGTACTGGGGCGATATAAAAACTTATGTATCGTCTTACGAATCCAGCATCGTGAGAACAGAATGCATTTTTCGTATCGGATGGCTCAGCGAATCCGGTACAAGACCAATCTGGTATCGTGTGAACAGGGCCTTAGTTTGTGTATTTTTGTCATTGATGGCGTCATTAGTTCTGTCAGGTTCTCTCAATATGCGTTTGTTGTGGTTATTGATAATATGTTGCATATTGTTCATGCAGCTGTACCTTAATTTAATTGTGTTGCGGTTAAATAGTTTTCTGAGTTTGTGGTCTATGGGAAAGTGCTTGTCGATTAGTGAAATGAATTTGTAGCCAATGTTTGTGCTGACGTTCTTGCTGTATGGTGGGTTGTACCAGAGTATGTTATTTCTAAGTCTGTTTTTCCGTTCGGTACTAGCGTTCGGGTCATATTTCAGTGTGTAGTGATATCCATTTTCGTCAAGTGCTTTTTGGTATGGAGGAATTGCTTGGTCGAATCATGCATCGTCGGATGATAAGGATGAAAGGCGTTTGTTAATGGCATCGGGTATGTTCTTTGTAATGCTTGGAGGGTGGTTGCTTTCGTGATGGGTGTATTGCAAAGAGGTGTTGGGCTTAGTCTAAGGTCGATGGGAAGAATTCTTTAGATTGAACGTTATGTCGAGGAAGTTAATGACTTTTTTGTTAACTTCGATAGTGATACGCAATCTGTTAAGCCCGACGCACAAACGAGTTTGATGTTTGACTCATCTGTCACGAATGACAAATGTTGTTCAAAACTTCCGCGCACACTAGGAAATTTTGTCGATCGCACTTTTCACGAATAACAAGTACGCGCGGCAAGTTCACCAGTGTGCGGCGGGCTTTTTTGTTAAACACGCGGGATATCTCTTTTTTGATTTTTTCCGTTTCTTTAGGTGTTGCTTTAGTAATGGCTAGTCCGTCGTCACGATAGAGTCCTATGTTAGCGTTGATGTGTTGTAGTTATGAGAGGAGATAGCTTCCTACAAGTTCGCATGTCTCGGCACCGTCGAAGCTACCCAACTTCACGTCGAATGTGGAGTTGTGTTTCTTTTGCCAGGGTTGTTGGTTGTGAATGAGGTATGAATTCTTGGTATGGATGATAATGTTTCTCTCTTGGTTTGTGATGTTGTCGTGGTTGAGGCGAAATCAAGTGCTTTGTTTAAGAGATCTTGGTTGATAGACGAGTAGAAGTCTACAATGTCGAAAGATATGAAGTTGAGATTTTGTTTGTGTTTGATGGAGTTGAACCACTTGATCACAGATGACGAGTTTTTCCATTGGTTCAGCGAGGTGGCTTTTATGATACTGTTGTTTATTCTGTCAAGGATTTTTTTGCTAATTTTTCCAATTTCAGATTTAGTCGGGTTGATTAGTCGGCAGGTGGGTTTATTTGCGAAGTTCGGTTTGTGATCTTTGAGTGTTATGAGTGCGTCTTTGTTAGCGGTGGAGTCTACTCTGTCAGATATACCCAGTTGTGATGTGATATTTTTGTCTTCGGTGTGGATGGCTTGTATTGCGGCGGCAAGCACAAGTATATCTGTGCAGCAGCACACATACCGCCAGGAGAACTCCTTTCTGATATTGAGTGGTTGATCTTCTGATTTGTAACTGTCTCCCTATGTTTAATGTAGATGGTGAGCCAGCGTAAATATTCGAACTCAGGTTTGATTTTCCCCACATCATCTCCTCCACCCTTGCCTGATTTTCCTTGTTGTGACTTGATATAACTTTTGAACTAAACAAGCACGTTGCGCTAGACACACAGCATTCTATTGTCTTAAAAGTATAAACGTGTAAAAAGGTCACAATCAACTTGCTTTAACTTACCAACTAAATTGAGTTCGAATACTATTGGATCCTCTAGGATTGAAATTCTTTCTCCCTCTTACAGTGTCCCCAATTAAGTTGGATATGTTTGATTGAGGAATAGTGACACCATTAAGTTTAACTTGTCCAATTTCATCCCATGAAATAACAACAGGGTGCGTTTTAGGACGATGCAATATTGCTCTTTACGCATTGTCTTTGGAACATTTTCGACAATAATGGATTCAGCTAAACTATGTCCTTCGTCCCTTTTTACAGTTTCCTTTTTTTTGCCATCGACTTCATCCGTTACCCGTGCCATTGGTATTCGAGTATCTTTTTGTTGTTTTAAATTGAGGAATTGTTCCAAGTTGACATTGAAAAGTTTTTGATTTTGATCACCGCTCAAGTCGGGTTGTTCAAGAATATGAGAAAGTTGAGAATATTTTTGCTACATATTCATTGTAATGGGCGAAATTTCGAGTTTTTGCTTTTGTTCGTGCATGTTATAAACGTCTTCAGGCACTAAAATCAAACAAACATGCATCATTTTGTCAGCAAACTTCCTTACGCACACGTAAAACAAGTGGTAGTAACGCAGTCAGTAGATTTCCACTCTTCTTATTCAATTTTTTTTTCTTGTTTGTTCGAGAAACTGGGTAAGAGCTCCGTGAAAAAGTGCTGACTAAGTGTTCTATACCTGCATCATATCTACCAGCAGCTTTGTATCTCTCAATCATCAAAAGTGATATTTTTAGCTGTAGGTTGTATCACTAACTATATCAAGATACTATAACCAATAGTTCACGTCTTGAATAAGCTTAGAGGACGAGTCAATGAGGATTAAGCACTGGCCTGAACAGTTTTCTGATCAGCAAGCCATTGAGCTGGCGGTTATTCACCCTCAAATTACGAGGATACATGAAGAATAAATGGAAGAAGCTGCACTGTTCATTCCTTCTAAACCATTTATACATTTTTTAAAAGTTGCGTGTGCAATAGTTTCAAATGCAAAGGACTCCCCCCCCCCATCCATCTTGAGAACAAAATATTAGAACATTAGATCTTTATTCGATGTGCGAACTTTTTCATTCACTTTGCTAGCTGGCTAATATGCCCTGCTAATGAATTTTTGTTTTGGTCATTATTTGTATTACGCAAACTTGCAAATTTTATATAAGTGAATTATCAATTTACAATACTGTAGAAAAATAAAGAGTTTGAAGAAGAAAAATACGATTTATCAGTATATGTACTTATTTTGTTAAAATTTTATTTAGAGTACCACATGTTGCAATTTTAAAGCAAGTTTTATCTTCTGCTAACCGTGTCACCTTCTACGGATATTTAATGGCTCTAGCAAAAAATAATGCTATTCGCCAATCTATTGATGACGACTGCATCACATGTGGGTGATATTAGTACTTTGTTTATGAAGAGATTTAAATATTATAAGTATTTGTTCATGTTTCAATAAAGTTTCTTTGATAATTGCAATGCGTAACACTTTTCTATTTGTTGTTGTCCATCAACAACAATCATGAAACGCATGCGGTGAAGCGAAACTGAAATAGGAAAAAAATCATAAACGAAAAGGTTTCTTTGCTGTATTATGATATTGTTCCTCTAAGCTAACCCATCCTGTATCGCAGTTTGCCCTAAAGAGACCTTTAGGCCCTGAAACAAGTGTCTCCATTTAAAATCCAGACAAGTAAGTTGCCCACGTTGTAGTTTGCCAGACAAGTCAGTTGCCCCGACAAGTTAGTTTCCCTTGTCTAATCAATGTACTCTCAAGTTCATTTAACCTAGCACCCGATGTTTCACTGGTCAATTATATTATTGGCTGCTATACTGTATGCAGTAGCTCACCCAAGGTTAGCAAATAAAGTATAGCCACTAATTTTTCACACATTCAAGTATTGTTCACTTCAGTTTTTTTTTAAAAAAAAGTAAGCAAAATGTGTTGTTTTTAGGCAAAATGATGCCCACAAAATGCATTTTGTATTGCTCTAAAACGCTGAAAATAGCATTTCCAAGACTCTGAAATTCAAAATTTCCCAGGGGAGAATGCCACGGACCCCCCAGGTGCGGAGCGCCTCCGACGTTTTATGACTGATGTTTGAAAAATCCTAGATCCGCCCCTGAATCCATCCCTAGCTTATTCTTTATTTCCTGAACTGTAAACGTATAAAATGCACAAATCTATGTATGTAATAGGTAATTATCGTATCACAGAAGAATTTTTCTCAAACGTTTGTAAATCAAGTTCTGTTGTTTGGCGACTGGTAAGAGTTGATTTAGTCATTTCTAAAACAATCATGTAGGATATTAGTCCTTCAGGAAAGGAGATAACAGCCTACTATACGGCCAGGCGTTTGAAAAAATACTTCTATGACATGAAGTTCACACATTCCTTACATATATCTGTGTATTCTATGAGTTTACGTTTTGGCACAGAAACTGGACTTTGGCCGTTTTTTCAAAAGAGCCGAATTAAAGCAGATGACGTAATTAGGCGTAAAGTCTAATCCGTCTGACCATATTTGACCAAATTTGACAATTTATGGGGGAATGAACGGGAAAAATGTAATTCTTGTTTTGATCATTGCAGTTCATTTATAGTAATATTAGCACTCAGTATTGTCACTATAATTTTCATTGACACCAGCTATCAAAAATCAATTAAAAAAAAACCAAAAAAAGTTTTGTGAAATATTTATTTTTGAATCGTGCATGAAACAGACATGCAAATGCGACATGAGATAAGTTTGCATATACAATGCCAACGACGCTCACCCGCTTTCAGTTCTCTGTCGATTGTATAGCAACTCGACTTTTCAACTTTGATACGAAGATTTATGTAACAAAACTGAAAAAACTATGCTGTTTGAGTTTCAAATCAACTCAGCAATGAGCATGGGATTTTGAGAGTTTTACATGTTTTTCGGCTATTACCTATGAAAAATTACGATCAAGTGTCTAGCTGCCATATCTCTTCGTATGATCATATGTCATAGGATTGAAATAGTGTCGCAAACAGATGTCAAATTGCACCATACGCATAAAGCTACGTTGCTTACTTGACCTGTAATCATTGGGAAGTTGAAAAGAACGCGAAAATATTTCAATCAACAGACTAACTTTATACTATCATGTTGAAGGCAATCGCTACAACGTTCGCTGTACTCTATGCAACCAGGTATTTCAAAATGATTAGATACGTATTGGGGCATACAAAGTCAAAGCACAAAGACTTACACAGTTCTGGTCGCATTGTGCCGACGACAGTTATTATTGAAGATTCGCAAAGACGACAAAAGACGATTTATTTATTTATTGGTTCCTCCAGTCACACGAAGAAAAGAAGAATCAATGAAGAGACGTCTAGACAAGACTAAACAATCTGAACAATTGGAAACCATAGCATTTGGAGCACAAACACACGGTAAAGTGTAAATGATGTTTTTATTATTTAATCATAGCAGTACGTGTTTAACACTGTTTTAACAGAAATGTTTTGCAATCTATGTTTTAGATGCAGATAGCACTGGTTCTCAAACAAGGACAATCCCGACTAATGAAATCCAAGAAATTTTAGATGAGTCAAATGACAAAAGGGACCATTCAACAAAAAATGAGACGGAAGAAGAGATTGATCCAGCTGGGTTGAAAGACGCGTATGATGAGCATGTGTCTTATATGCCATTATGGTGGATCTTTGTCTGTAGCATTACTTCATGCATGTATGTTTCTTTAACATGCGTCAATACCAGTGTACTCTGCTGTTGAGCGATAAGATATGAAGTAATGCATTTAACAAATCAATCTGTCCGACCTATACGTAAAAAATAAATATGTTCGTCCATTGGTAACATGCAATGTGAGCACTTCATATTTTCCAAGTGTTTCATACATATAGACAAGACGGTGCCTGATAACAACAAACAAGGTTAATAATACCTATTAGATATATTATGAATTAATATTTTATTGTTTCAGAGAGAAGGGCTGGTTTTCATTTTAACATTGAAAACAGTAGCATACCAAATAGCTGCGGTGGCCCTCAGGATATTTCACTCAACAAAGACAGTCGTGCAGTGCAGCCTCGTGACATAAAGTTACCTGTGCATATGACTGGCAATCAATACAGGGCGCTAGATATCCATTGATAGAGTATTCGCGGAGTGAAGATGCAATCTACTGCTATCACTGTCGTCACGTCTCCACAAACACAAAGGAATCGGCTTTTGTTAGCCATGGTTTGCGCAGTTGGAAGAAATGTTGTGGAAAGATGGCAGCAACAACAAGCTACTGCAACACAACATTAGCCTTCAACATGCCGAGTCCATTGATGGCTCTTAAGTCTGGCACTTTTCAGTGTGTTGCAGAGCTTCAGGATTCTTGTCAGAGAAAACAGAATCTATGTGCGCACATTATGTGAAGTTTTGCTTCTTACAGCTAAGCGAAAAATTGCACAGCGTAAGACCGGTCGATCATAGCGAGTAAATTACACCGACAGAGAACGTCTACATTTTCGTCCATCATGAGGAAATTTTTTTGCAATATTTTGCTTATTGGGAAACACCACCCGGTTGTCACTGAAAAAATTCGATCTGGTGCTGGGAATGCAAAGTACATCCATCATTCAGATGAATCCAAAGACAACAACAAAAAAGAACAAGTCATTGTGTCAGTACGATACTACTTTAACTACACTATTCACGAGGAGTTCATTGGCATTGCAGAAGCCCATATCTTGGACGCAAATGGTTTATCTGATACTATAGTCCTCATGCTACAAAGGGTTAAAACCAACATAAAAAACTGTGTCGAACAGGGTTATGGTGGTGCTTCTGCTGTTTCTGGTCATTTAAACGGAATTCAAAAAAAAATCCTTGAAAAAACAGGGGCAGAAATTGCTTACTATGTCCATTGCTTTTGCCATAGGTTAAATCTGGTAATTGTTGAAGCAGTATATTCGACTAAGTGCATGGCCAATATGATATCTCTCTTTAAAAAGCTACATTCGTTTTTCATCAGCAGTACATTTCATGTTAAGTGGTGAAGAAGCAAGAGTCTTACGGTGCAAAGATGATGGAAATTGGAAAAGTTTCCAATACTCGATGGTCGTGCCAAGCGAAAACAGTTCAGCGTTGTATGGGAACGCATTGACATCACAATCGCAGTTTTGCAAGATGTAATCGACAACTATTGTTAACTCCAGCCGTAACACTGAAGCAACTGGCTACTTGTTGGAGAATGATCGTCGCTTTATAAGATAAGTATTGATCATCAAGCACATCCTAAAGAAAGCCAAATTTGCGTCAGATATGTGGCAAGAGCCAAAATATTTTCTGACCGAAGCCATAATGCTAATTGCCGTGTTAAAAGAGGAGCTGCAAGCATGTCGCTAATAAGAAAAGTGTCGGGAATTTTGGGAGTGGGCGATCGTTTAAATCGTCCCAAAAATGTAAGAACGTTTAGAAGGCGGCCCCCGGCAGCATTGGCAGATTGCATTGTCGAGCATAGCGTTGAAAACCATGCGACTGGAGTAGGATGTGATCATTACGTTAGGGATGTCTATGAGATCGTAGACAAAGTTAGTGCAGAGGTGGAGAAGAGATTTGGTAACAAGAATATAGTCGTGATGAGAGGTATCACTGCTTTGTCTCATGGCTCCACAACATTCACGGACGAAAATCGTCTCATGGCTTTTGCTGACTTGTTCAATGGCAATGCCACAGACCTCCTCTCCGAAGTTTTAACGATTATGCACTTGCTGGAAAGGAAGGAGGAAGAAGACAAGCCCAAGAGTCTCCTGCAATTGAAAACCTATCTTGAAAAATTAAAATAAGCCTTTTTTGAGGTTCACCGACTTGCGTTGATTGCTTCTACTTTGCCTGATTCGTCAGCTGAATGTGAACGAAATTTCAGCTCCAGGAGGCTCATAAAGAACGATCTGCGATCAGTGATCATTCAAGGGCAGCCTAATGATGCTAGGAATTCATCGTGATCGAGGGAGCAAACTTGATTTCGATACTACAGTTAACAGGTTGAAAGCTAGGTTTCTCAATTGTAGAATTGCTCTCTGAACATCAAACAATCAAATGAAAATGACTCACTGGAGTCATATTTTACTCGTGCATTTTTGATATTGCCTGTTATATTTTTCTCAATTATTACCTAAAGCACCACTGATTCTTAAAATACAGTTTTGTCTCACTGAATATACGAATCTTCTCTACCTGTATTAAAAGTTTATATGAACAAACACCCCATCCTCCAAATTAACGTTCTCTTTCTATCATTAGTAGCCTATTACGTAATGTTGATTTTTCTGTAAATGTAAAGTATTATTTTCAAAACAAACTATGTTCCAATGATTTTGTTAAAGTTGGGATTGATAATGATTTTTTAAAATTTTGTCTGAAAAAAAAAGACTTGCATGGAAAACGCATTGTCACATAAGCCAAGTAAGCCATTGCTGCATTAAACTG